TTGGATGTTTATAGATTATCTTTATAAAGAGGAGTTGTCTTTAAAATGAACTGTTCAAACAATGTAGATCTTCCATATTGCTTTATTCTGCTAATATATTTGTAATAGTATTTTAAATGGTTGGATTCCTTTTCTGCAAACAAAATAAATAAATTAGTAGAAATGTCTTCTTTAAATAATGTGAAAATCTTTATTTTCTGTTTAAAATCGTTTCTTAAATGTAACTTTTTTTTTCTTTTGACCAAACTTTATGGCCCCAATGTAGCTCCATAATACCATGGCTTCTCCCTTTTCTCCATTCAATGACTTTTCAAAAGTGAAATTGAAGCTAAACAAAATATTTGTCTATGGTTAAAAGTTTGGCCAGGATTACCGATTAGACAGAAACATCAGCCTGGCGCCACTGCTTGTTCTAAAATCATATTTGGGTAAATTGGTTAAAATGGTCGACGTTTAAAAGCTCCTGAAGCTTTTTATTGAATTTAGTTCATTTTCATTCGACCTTTTCAGGACACTCCTGTTTACCCGCTTCTTAAGAAATTATGAAAATCTAATTTATTGGGTTTCCTTAAGTGGACATTTATTAGAAGTGCTGCTCACACGGCATCCATCGCCCAAATAACAGTTTGAGGAATTGGAACATGTTGTTCAATGAATCTGAATAGTTTAGCTTCAAAAACACGTTATATTACTTTCATTTAGGTTTTAAAAGAGCAGAAACCAACTGCAACAGGGTTCAATAAAGAAACCAAGCAATAAACAATCAACTAGTGTACTGGTGACAAAAGCAGGTTTTTAGGAATTTGTCAGATTGTTTTGATAGAATAATTGCACTAAACATCCTCAAAAGAACGACTGTAAAACAACCAGTAATATTTTTAGGTTGTTTTTGTCATTATGTGGGAAATTATGTTTTTTCAAAATCAGAATCAACTTTATAGGCCAAGATTGTGCGTTTAGTTTGACTTCGATTTCAGATATAGTTTCCTTTAGGCAAATTTTCTATTGAAAAAAACAACACAAATGTTGCATTTTCTAGGTTTAAAACCTAAAAAATAGAATAAAATTTTCATGTTAAAATTGGAACATGAAACATATTTTATGCATGAGATATTTGTCAAAAACTTTACAGTGTTTTTATTTAGCTAGACCGGGCTTGAAAATGATAACATTTTTTGGATATGTCAAAACTAAAAATATAAATGTGAATTGCTTCTTTTTTAAGAATTAAAAAGTAGAAGAGCACGTTTTTATTTCTCTTCCTACTACATATAAAAATGTAAAACTTTGCTATTTTAAGTCAGAAATCTTTAGCAATTAAACCACAGATGTCACATCTTTTGAGTTCCACAATCAACTGTAAATGCAAGTTGTCACCCATTAAAAGCCGACTTCCGCACTCCAATTAGCGCTGCTAATTAACATCACAGGATATTTACGGCTCCACTCATGAACACGATTCACTCGGCGAGCATCTTTAAATGGAAACCTCACTCACTGAGACGCAGATGACCAAGAATAGAACCAGCGGAGTGATTTGGATTGATCTGATGGAGTCTTTGTGGAGCTGTCGCCATTGTGAGTCAGAGGAGTTCTGTGTCTTAATGACGCGGGGGTGGGCCGCGGGCCGCGTGGGTAACACTCGGGGAAGAGTGGGCGGCCGAGAGGCTCTTGTTTTTCCCCCCGGACCTTTTTCATCCACCGTGTTTTCAACTTGTTGTTGCTACGATACGCTGAAGAAGATGGCCCTCAGACTGAACAAAGAAGCTTTTTGAGCAGCTAACACAATGATGCTAGCGCTAGCAAAAACACACTAATGTAACCATGGTTACCTTGGAGTAAAGGGTCTTTAATGGACCATTAGGACCATTGTAGATAGAAAAAGATAGAGGAAATGTCCATCCAGAGAAACTTACAAATATACATATATATTTGATTTTATAGACAAAACATTTCTTTTACAAAAATGTACAGAAAAAAAATCTCTAAGTTTAAAGTTGAAAATTATCAACTTTTCAAGGTTTAGTTTTTTTCTATTTCGATTGTGTTGAAACATCAGATTTTTTCTTGGAAATTTCAAAACTCAAGAATTTCTAGTTTTCTCTACATAATTTCTGAGAATAATCTCCAAATTTCTGAGTTTCTCGCAAATTTTTAAGTTTTTAAACTAAAAAATTTCCAATTTGTTTCCTAGATAATAAATCGTTTCTGAGATCAATTTTAAAATTTGTTTTTTGTCTCGCACTTTCAACTTTTTAAACAGAAATTTCCTTCTTTATTTTAGGAAATTTACGGCATTTTTTCTAACTACAATGGCCCTAATATACACCGTGGTACCTCAACCCTCATTTTCTGACTTGTCCTAATGCAGTGCTTCTCAAATAGTGGGGCGGGCCCCCTTTGGGGGGCGCGGTGCGATACTTGGGGGGGCGCGTGTTATCCTGGGGAACAGGCTTTTTTTTTGGCCGTACTAGTATAAAGTGTAATTGCGCACAGTAGGCGGCAGTGGCGCTCTCATTGTTACTTCTGTCACGTTTGCGACAGTGCAACATTTTTCGACTTACAAGACAACAGGTTTGCCTTGGTTAGCAGTGTTAAGTCAACAAAAAGCTCCGACTGCGTTCTGTCTATGGCCTCCGTTATTCAACAACCCCCAACATGAAAAAGTTTTTCACAGGGATGAAAAGAAAAGCGGAGAGAGACAAAGATAATGAGACAACAGAAAGTCAACCGAAAGCTAAGAAGAGGAAATACGACGAAGCGTATTTAGCGCTTGGCTTCACTGTGACTACAGTTGGAGAAGAGGAAAGACCGGTGTGTTTGCTGTGTCTAAAAATGCTCGCAGCGGACAGCATGAAGCCAAATAAATTAGCGCGTCACTTAAATACGTTACATCCCAATCACGCCGATAAGCCGCTAGAGTTTTTTCAGCGAAAACGTGCTGAATATTGCCAACAGTCATCCCGCTTTGTGAAGGCTACTTCAGTAAACCATCGAGCGCTGCTAGCATCATATAAGGTGGCGTACCAAATTGCGCAGTGCAAAAAGCCCCACACCATAGCAGAGGAGCTGATACTGCCTGCAGCAGTAGACATGGATTTATTTATTAATTTCAGGCATTGATGCACTTAAAATCTTTTCTGTTGCAGACTTAAAACACAATTTAATAAAGTTATTCTTTGTAAGTTTGACCATATGTCTTTCTGTCTTTAATGTTAATAAGGAAAAAATGTTATGCAGAGATGGATAGTCACGGTGGGGAGTGGGGGCGCGAATAGTTTTCTTCTTGCTAGGGGGGGCGCAACGGAAAATAATTGAGAAGCACTGTCCTAATGTATGAATAATAGTCGATTAGTTTAATAGTTATAATCAATTAACTGTATCGTCGGCTGTAGTTTGGCCGCCACCCAGCAGAGGGCGCCGCCACTCATTCTTAAGTGGAGTCAGCGAATCAGTATTAAAGATGGCGGAGCGATACCAGAACGGAAAAGAGAACCAGTCGACTGGAGTCTGAAAAATCAATGTTTAGCAATATAAACTCTGGACAAACTCCTTAAGTTTGTCATTAGTGGCGCTTCATTCAGCCGAGCTGCGTATGAGCATCTCGGTCTCGCATGTCTTTCTTTTCGTCTTTTATTTTTCTTATTAGCAACTTAAGTAGCAACCATAATGCTTCGCATCAACAACGACCACCTTCCTAAACTTTATTTTGAGTAAAGTAAAAAAAACGCAGATTTTGTTACAGTTAGCTTTAATAATGTTTTAATCTGTTTTTTAAAGTTCTCTAGCGAGTGTTGATTTGAAGGCCGGTACTTATCGGTTCACCAGAGCCTCTTTTTGACACAAAGTCCCATTAACAGCCCTCCAAAGATATCTGCCCGCGTCTAAAATTGGCGGATGGATCTATTCTTCTTCACCTCCACGGCGGAGGTGACGAGGCACAAAGTAGGCCAAGGACTCAGAAAGTAGGCTGAGAACCACAGAGGAGCTGGATCATCCAGGGAAGGAGAGGAAATGGGAAAGAATGTGGGCCAGCGCTGATCCTGGAAATTTAGACAGAGAGAAATCAAATTACACATGAAAACCAGGGGAAAGAGACATTTGTAAGCTTCTTATCAATAATATGTTGGTTCTAAAGTTAATTTTCTTGTATTTAATGTTAGAGGTGGGCATTTTTACTGCGCTGTACTTTTCACTTTTACTCAAGTAGTTTTTCTATTAAGTATTTCTTCTTTTATTTGAGTAAAATTTCTGGATTTTCTACCCACTGAATGAAAAACAAACATGTTTTAGCCAAAAATTCACCAAACACACCTGCAGTTTCTTTTGCCTGATGTCTTTTTTTTGTATTTTTTGTAAAAAATTGTCACTTTGGTCCTTAAAACATCAAAATATCCACATAATCAAAAAAATAACGATGTAATTTGAAGTATTGAATATTTTGATGAGTTACTCAGGAATTGGACTTTTTACCAAATACATTGTTACTCTTATTTAATTTCTTGTAGTGCTACTTTTACTTGGGTACATTTTTTGTTCAGCTCAGGTCAATTTATATAAAATTGTCTGCATCAAACTTAAAAAAAGAGACAGTATACAAATTTTATTTAATCAACATCATATTCTTTCTTCATTTACTAAGCAACACATTTTTTAAAATTAATTTCAGAAATATTTTGTACTCCAGGATATGTAAAAAAAATGCAATTATTTGAGTTTTGGTACCCAATTTTATTTATCTCTAGTAAGACTAGCACTACTTCAAGATATATTTTACTCAAGGAAAATTTAAAATGCAATAAAAAGGCTATATTTAATCAGGTATTTTTTCATAAACGTTTTTACAGTATTATTCTTTATGTTTGCCTATTTTCAAACCCATCATGAAAAAGAAAAACTAACATTTTTATTTTGAATATTTAAAATGATTTATTTTGGTTGCACTGCCCCCAGGTGGTTACACACCGTTACTACACAATAATAAGAAAAGGACGCAATCATTTTGAAAACAGTCGCACAACCTTTATTTACAGTTACTTGCATGAAAAAACAAAACCATTAAAAACAACAAAAACAGAATAAACACATTTTGATGAGGTACAAGGGTTACACACTCATTCTATGGCAGAAAAACTCCCAACAAAACCAGGAGGTTCCCTTTGACCAAGCATGCTGTGGGAGGTTTACGACACATTTCACCTCATTTAGAATTAAAAAACAAAAAATGAGCGCTGTAGTGCCAAAAAGGAAAAAGGAAAAAAAAAGAGAAAAAAACAGATTTCCATTCTTCAAAACATCCAAATGACCAATAAAGAGAGAATCTTTATTTGGAGAAACAAATAAATCCCAGACAGATTCAGGAGAATCTCAACCTACATGGGAATAATCTGTTTCCTTTTTTTTTTCTCACAAAAACGTAACTAATTTTGTTCAAATCGGGCTCAGAAAGATGTAAACACACATTTTATTAGGTAGACCTGTTTACTGTTGAATTAAAGCATTAACTACTAACTTTACCGCTAATAAAAAAAACACTCATGCCAGGTTTCATTTGGTTTTCTAACAGTCAAAACAACAAATTCAACTCCATAAATTAGAATACAATCGCAAATTTATCAGTTTTAAAAAGTGAAACTGTTTAGTTTTAATTATTTCTTATATTTTATTTTAATAATTGTGTTGTATTTTCCTTTATTTGGTATTTACTGTTCAGAAAATGTGTATAGTTTGGTCATTTTAATGTTATTTTGTGAAACTATTGTTTGTTTTTAGCAGTACAGGTGAAAAAAATAGCCCTTTGGCTAATTCTAGATATTTACAGACATATTAATGTGTACTGCCTCTGCCAAAGAAATGAAATATATATGTATTCGATTCATTCTTTATAGTTGTACTTTTTTAGATTTATTCCTGCTTGTTTATAACATCAGAGCAAAAAAAGATTTTAATCGTTTAGTCTGTTATCAGAAATCCATCAAACAAGCTACTAAAGCTAACTGCTAAAGAAAACAAGTGCAGTGGAAAGTTGAGTGGAAGAAAAAAAATCCACCTTACATGTATCTGTGAGAGGATGAAGTATTGGAGTTATTTTTGATGTATCACTGTATAAAACAACAATGAATATATTTGATGTAATATATTTCAAGCAATAGTTAATCTATACAAGTTCCACTTTTTAGAGCTGAAATAAATCAACGTTGCAATCATATTCTAATTTGAAGAGATAAAAATGTTTCTGGAATCAAAAATAACAATTTTCTTCACTTTGACACAAGAGACTTTTATCCCAACGATGCAAAATGGAAAAGAAAATTAAAAAATTGCATCTTTTCTGGTGGAAATCAACAGCCAAGTCGCCTCATTTAGATCTAATAAACAATAAAAGTTTGGACAAAGCCAGAAAAGAATCTCGATTCTAAATCTCTTCTCCGTCTTTTGTTCTGGGATCAGATCAGCTGCTGATCCATGGGAATAAACTGTAAAGGCTAAAGTTAAAAATAAAAATTGAAAAGCCTAAAAAAATTCAGCTCTCCGCTGACTTACATGGCGCAGCAGGAAGTGGCTACTTCCGTTTCACAGCAGCAGAATCCTCGTCCTTCAGGACAAACTTTTTCCTCAGAGCTTCAGAAATCAGCGTGGCGGAGTCTTCCTCTCTGAGCGACGTGCAACCGCGGCTGTACCTGGGAGACAACGCATCGTCAGCGCAGAGCGCAGGCTGACAGATTTTATTCATGCAAGACTCATTTTAATCCACCTGTGTATCAGATCTTATTCTAATTGTTTTTCAATTAGAATAAGATTTTGATCTTTTATTACCGTACAAGATACGATTTAAATCAGTTTTTATTTTTTGTACCACATCTGATTTAACTTTTTTTCATATTATGTACAATCCATTTCCTTTCCTTTGATACCAGATTTAAATCGGATCTTGTACAAAAATTTTTTTACAGAATAACATTTTTTTGTACTAGATTCAATTTAATTCTTTTCATCCCAATTACGGTTTCAATCAGTTTTTTTGATGCCTAATTTTAGATCAGTTTCTCATAGAAATCCGATGAATTTTTTTAGTACCAGGTTTGATTTTAATTAGTTTTCTTTTTAAGAAAAGAAATTAGAAATGACAAAAAATATTTTCTGAAACTCTTTTTTTTTTATTTAAAGTCTCTCTTCTGTTTGCGGCGTATTAGAGCCCTGCAACGAGTATTTTAGTTTAAATGAGAAAACAGTCGAAATATCAGAATAAAGACAATTTTACCAGAAGAACGTCTTAAAATTATGACAAAAAAATGTGTTTTAGTGAGAAGAAAAGGTTTGATAATGAATTTAGTACATTTTCATGTTGGAGTTCTGATAAAGCGACGAGTTCTATGCTCATTATTTTTTAATATTAAAGTTTTACTCTCGCGTTATTTCGCCTGTGTGGGATCTGGTTTTATTCTGGTGAACAAACAGGAAGCTGCAGGTGAGCTCTGCGCGTTCCTCACCTGTCTTTGCTCATTTTCATCTTGTTCATGTCCTTCAGGATGTCCATGACGTCGGCGAAGCTCGTCGACTTGGACAGCGACACCGTGTCTTCCTCCGCCTCCCTGAACTCCATGCTGGGCCGGTCCAGGTCGAAGGTCGCCGACGCTGTCATGGAAACCGGCGGCAGCGGGTCGGGCAGCAGCTCCGACACGATGGAGACCACGTCCTTCTCATCTTCCTCCACTGGCTCTTCGTCGTCCTCCTCCTCTTCCTCCTCGGTGACGTCGCTGATGACGAAGGAAGCGGGAGCGGCGGCCGCCGGCTGGAAGGAGGCGGCCTCGAACGGCGCCATGGAGAACGCCATGCTGGTGTCGTCGGGGGAGAGAAGTTCAGGGGTCAGCGGGTTGGAGTCTGGGGGAAGAAGAGCAGATTGCTCCGGTCGATCACTTATTACCGATTAGAGGAACTTTAAAAGGATCAAAAACGGTAAAATCTAAATGTTGTTACGGTTTTTTTTTTTTTCTGCTAAAAACACAAGTATAATTTTTGGACAAGTTTTAATATTTTGCAGAATGGGTTAAAAAAAACCTCTTTAAATGTAACCAATCAGCAGGCGCTACACCGTTACCTAGCAACCCCAGGGGAATTCCACCGTTACCTAGCAACCAAGGCAAAGCTCCAGCATGTTTGGTCAGATTTAAAGTGACAGAGGCCCTAAAAACAGATGAAAATATCTAGAACAGGACAGAGTAAAATCTTATTATCTAATCATGGTTTTGTGCTAAAAATGTAAAACATGTTTTGAATAGAACAGAAAGAAAGCAGGCAAACAAGCCGACAAATGAATGGAGATACGGATCTTTTTAGGACAAAACTGGGAATATGATACGGAACTGAAAACTAAGTCAAATTCTTCCAGGAACCTTTTATGCAACTCAATCAGAAAACGTCGAAGAGAAAACATTTTAAATTATCTGTCATGTGATGTGCAGCTGCCGCTGAACAGAGGGGATAATCTTCCATCGCTGACCTACAAACCGGCGCCGAGTCTCTGCACCAACAAACGGCTTACAGGGAATCAGGGCGGCTGACTGGGCAGCAGCACAGAGTCACATGAAGACTCAGCTACACAAGGAAAACTAACCAGAAGAAATGAGTTATCAGACTTAAACAGCAGCAGGTTCTTCCACTGATACAAAACCGGAAGAAATGCGACTTTACTGGAAGTTTGATCAACAATAAACAGCATCAGGAGCCGGATGTAATAGCTTATTACAGTTTAGTTTCATTTTGTTGTGACTTTTTCGATTACATACATAGTTCGGTGACTAGTTTTTAAGAGCGTTTGCTAGTTAAACATTGTTTATTTATTATTAGCTATTAATAATTCAATGTTTAGTTTTTGTTATTTTTTAGATATTGATTATTTAAATATTGTTCAATTTTTCTTAGTTACTAAAATGTTTAGTTTTTATTACTAATTAGTTGAACACTGTTTAATTTTCAATTAGTTTTTAGTAGTTAATTTTTTTAACACTTGCAGAATTTATAAAGGACAAAGTATTGTATTGCGATTAGGTTTACTTTGATTGGTTGATAAATACTCAACAGAAAATAAAATTTTCAGAAATAAATATTCAGTTATTGTTGAATAACAAACTAACTGGTGTTTTCTTCCCGTTTTTAGTTGGTTTTCTTAACACACAGTATAGTTCCAGTTAGTTTTTCCCACATTAACTACAGTTTTATTTATTTCATTTAACCAAAATGTTTTCTCAGCTTCAGTTCTTGTTATTTTGCTAGTTTTATGTAAGTATAATAACTCTGTTCTGGAGTTACTGACCTGAGTCACTGGCAACGATCTTGGCGATCTGTGCTCTGAGGCGGCTCAGCTCCTCCTGGAGCGCCGTGGTTCGGTTCAGCGCCGTCACGCCCGGCTTCCTCAGACCCTCCATCCGCTTCCCCTCCCGCCGGAAATTCGGCACAGATGAGTTCCTGTGCAGAACGAGGAGCGGCGTGGGTCGCCACTCGTGTTTCAGGGGCCGCGAGTCGCTTCTGCAGAGAACAGGGGTTACTTTCAAAAAGCAGAAGACACGATTGTTTTAATTTGTTTTACGTTCCACGTACGCCGTTTTATCTCTCCTGTTTTATTTTTTGTGAAACACTTTGTGGTTTAATAAAGTTTAATTGGCACAAATCAAACCAAAAAGGAAGCAAAGTTTATCATGTCAAACCTCCAATTTGATGCATCCCAATTGAACAAAGAAGTTCCAAAAAATAAACATTTGGTTGGCAAAAAGTTTGAGAGGTAGAGTTTAATCAAATATAACTTTACTGTCACAATATCGGGGTTTATAAACTTTCTCCACAGTAAAATTCAAATACTTTTCAACCATTTTCAAGATAAGTCTTCAAACTTTTCCATCACTGCACTTTGGAAATAAGAACAATACAAAATAATCTAAAAAAAAAAAGAGCTTAACTTTACTGTTCTATATGATTTATTACTGCTGTTAATGATGCTCATGATTTACAGCAGAAATGAGGTAAACTAAAGTTTTACATTTTAAAATGTTTGTATTCAATTGCACAAATCAATAACTCATTTATCCATTAGGATTATTAAATATTCAAAATTAAATAAAAAAAAAAGTTCTTGTTAAGTTTTTTCTCATTTAGAAAATATGAATAATTTTGGTAACTGAACTAAAATAGAAATGTTGTTTTTCTCCATTTCTCAGAAATGGAGAAAAACAAATATTTGGCTTCAACATTAAAATGATTCATTTGGGCTTTTAATCAAACATTAGATTGTACTTTATTGCAAAACTGTGCAGTTTGAATATTAAGCACTAACAAGGACTTTATACAGAAATCAATCACTTTCTAAATCTTTAAAACTTCTAATTGTACTTTTATGCTGCTTTTTCAGAACCAGATTTGGATTTCAGACCTGACTCTGGCGTACGTCTCCTCCTCGTCTGCGACGATCCAAGCGATGTCAGCCAGGGTCGGAACGGACGGGCCGTCGAGCGGACGGAGCGAGGGCAGACCGGGCAGCTCCTGGTGGAGCAAGAGTCGCCATTTTAACTCATCCAGAAGTGGATTTATTGGTTAAAAGCATCAAAACACAGAATAAACATCCCAATAATATAGGACAATATTTTAGTAAAAAAATACCAACTAAAAGAGGTTTTTAACTAATAAAAGAGGCTCTCACCTGATATTATGCAGAATATCAAGTGATACAAAATAGATCCTGATAAAGAATCCAATATAGGAAGAATTTGACTGGAAATGGAAAGTTAAGTATGTTTACATCCCCTCTTATTTTTAATTTTGTAAAGGAACCATCAACTGCATGTTGTTGGAGAAAATGTGGGAAAATCAAAGACAATACGCATATATTCTGGGAATGTCCAATTATCAAAAAATATTGGAGAAATATTAAGGTAGAGTAAACAAAAACACAGTGCAACTCAGGATATGAAGCGTACCTGAAAACATGCCCTCTGTGGAGGCTTTAGGGGAAGAGTGGAACCTATCCTTCTGACGACGCTGCGGGCGGCTCCATGGGGCTTATTCTGCCAGATGGGAATCATTTCCTGCAGAATTAAAAATAAATAAAAACATTCCTGATCTCTCCTCATGGTGTATACCTGCTTTCTGCACAACTTTCCCACAGCAGCATAATCTTACTGTCTCTGTTTCCATGGTGACGGTGCCTCATTCGTTGCAAACCAAATCTTGGTTTAAGTATTGTCTGAAGAAGCAGCAGCTCAGCAAACAGATGTCATGCTGCTGCTAATGCCAATTCCTGGGATCAAACACAAAACTTACTGAGGTCAAATTTGAACAAATAAAAAAAAACTGTTACAAGGGTTTTCAGTTAAAATTATCTTTCCAATGTTTCATTAATCCATTAAAAATGTTTCCCAAATGAAGCAAATTTAAGTAACTACAGTATTTTTACAAAACAAAGAAAATTAAATTAAGTTTTATTTCAAACATTACTGTTACGACTGGCGTCGTAATTATTCTAACATGAGTCGCTTTCGGTGGTGCCAGAAAAGAATATTCACCAGAGAAAAGTGTCGTTGCAATAATTATTTCAACCGTTGGTAGAAAGTACCAACAGCCCGGCCGGGTGGCTAGGCTAGCATTAGGAACCCAGTTAGCATTCACCGAACCGACACCGACAACCCAGTTGACCTTCTTTACAAAGTGCACTCGGTAAACTAAACACTTCTGTCTAAATGTCACTATAAAAAAGAGAACAACTTACGGGATATAAAAGCTGAATCGTGAGAGGCTAACGAACAACTGCTTCTGAGAGTAACCGCTTCTCTTCTGTTGACGTTTATTAGGCCGGAAGCCTGAGTCTCCCTGTCCTGTAATCTGATTGGCTGCAGCAGGACCGGCTTCCTTTATGGAGCAAACCGAACAAAGCAAATACAAGCTCGCCATCTAGCGAGAGAAACGAATACTGCAGGGTGAACATGTTAACTCATCAGAATCCAAAATAACCCAGAGTTGTATCTAACAGGTTCCGTTGAGTTCATATCTTATGGTTCTTTAATTTTCTAATGTATTTTTCCAGCTGCTTTTTGTGTTGTGTGTTCCTTATACATGTTACCAAACATAAAAAAACATCTTTAGATGTACCTTTATTCAGCTTCGTTCAAGTTTTAGTTATATAACACAAAATTACAATAACAACAACAAACAACCTGACCTTGTTTTAAGATCATGTTTTATTAACTGATTTTATGGAGCAAAATATTTTAATTACTTGTTTTATAATTGATTGTAATTTCTGTTTGTTTTCAGCAAAAAAAAGATCTCTCGTAAATGAGATCTTGAAACTTAAAGTTCAAAAAACAAAATCCTGCAGAATAGACAAAAGGACATGTAAACATATGGGTTTTATTAAGGTGATAAGAAAAAGAAATCCAAAATTGTGTCTGAAAGTAATTTTTGTAAACAAGGGAAATGTGAGAGAGTACATTAAATTAAATTGTCTTGTCATATAGTGTATGCAAATTTGTAGTTTTTTTTTTCTGAATAAATAGGAAAAAGAATGGACTGAAACACTGAGCCTTGCGGTATTCCATAAAAAATCTAGTAAGACGAACAAACGGGACAAAAATTAACTTGTTTTCATAATTAATTTGCTCAATTGTGATTTATGTCGACTATTTATTTCAGCTGTATAATATTGCACATGGTTAGAAATGACGAGAATCAAACAGTGTTGAAACATTTAGTCTAAAAATAACCATAATATTCATTGTTTTCTTTCTTACTTTTATTTTTTTCAAAGATGTTTGAATCTACAAGATGTATCACTCCCATTACTTTATTCCGCGTGTCTAGAAGAGGAGGGGAACTATCTTGACAAATGGCGGAGTCGGCGCTCCTGACAGGGAGGAGCCTCAACTTGTTTCTGTTGTCTGCAGTGATATCATAACCCTGCAACATGAAGGTGCGCTCATGTGACAGCCGCTCGTCCCATCCTCGGGCTGGACTCAGGTCAGTAGAGATGCAGCTCACGTTCCCCTCTCTGTTCCCCGTTTGTTTTCATTCTGCTCGCTGCAGGGTGTCGCTTGCTTCTGCAGTAGCTGCTCTCTAGATCATTCTGTGTGATGTCGTCTGAAATGCTCACATCCTCCACAGCGATCATGTTAACGCCAGCTTTTACAGGAAACAAGTTCTTGCATAATCTCAACAGTACGACTGAAGAATGGAGGGAAATGACTAAACATGTTTTGGTGACTCTCTGTTGCTAATGAACCACCACACAGAGGGATGTGAGCCCGGAATACCAAATGAGGGCTGCAATCTAATGTTTATTATATTGTTATTATTGGCTCTTATTTAACTGAACCATATTATTCGAAACATATTCGACGATTAGGCTTATGGTCGAGTAATGCTGTTTTACAAAATAACAATGACCCGTCCATTAGCTCCACTTGACCCCTGAGGGTGTGCTGATGTTTAAGTTATGAGGTAGGGCCTCCCTTCACGGGACTGGTTTAGGCAGCAAATCCCACACATTCTGGACTGGAATGATATCTGAGGAATCTGAAGACCAAGTTAGCAGTTAAACCAGTTGTTGTGCTTTAAAAGTGCTAAAACTGGTGGTATGACAGTACCTTTGCACAGGAGTGCAGCTAAGTACTTTCTGAAGTGTATGGAGACGCATGATAGGTAATTATATGTTCATAGCACAAGCAGCTGTAAAATGCAGACTACAAATATTTTTCCATCATCTGGCGCCGGCTCTAGTGGCGCCCCTAAGCGTAGATATATTTTTGCGCCACTGTCTCTGCAGGATAACTTTTCTTACATGTTCCCCAATGAAGTGACTTGGTCATGTAACAATTAATCAAATGAATCGCGATGAAAATGATCCTCAAATAATTACTAGTCCATTAATGATTAACTGGAGAGTCAAAAAAAAAATAGATAAAGAACACAAATACAATAAACATTTTGCATTTAAGATGAAAAACCCTATGTTCTGGCCAAAACTGCTTACGTGGCAATTTTAGCTGCACTTGGTTCAGATTATGTAAAAAATAATCTCCTATTAGGCACCTTTTGCTATCCAATTATCAATGCATCAGCTCAACTGTAATGATGCTAAGTCAAGAAGAAAGGGCAGTCTTTGCTACAAATTATCAAGCGTTAACTAAAAAAATGCTATGCGATTGCATTTTAGGCAAGAAAATGTTTATTTTCTAATTTACAAAAGGACTTGGATAACTTTATTATTTGCATTTTACTGTATTTCTATTATTATATAAAATAATCTAAAGTGGTAAGCAAAAAACATCTGCAGATAGTGGCAATTTCTGTACCTGATTGTCAGAATAAAATAATAATTTTCTGTAACCCCAGGATATCTTTGTTCTAGCATCTATATTAAACAATGTTAGTCATTTCTTATTGGTCCAATAAGTAAAACTGTTTACTTCCATCTTGTTATTCCCTTCACTTATTGAAAAGTTTTGTACCTGATTGGTGAATTTTTCAGATAAAATAAAGTATTGCAAAATATGATGCATACATTTAGGTAGCAAACTAAAATAGTTATGTAATTTCGCAGAATTGTTGAAATTCAGCCACTTTGTAGCATTTAAGGTCCTGTCACATGATTTCAATCAGATTAATAATAAGCCTCCAGGCTCTTACAAAACCTTCATTTTAGTGTTTAAGCCATTCAGACGTGAATTTTCTGGTGCTTTGGATCATTTTCCACCTGAAAAATGATCCAAAAACTCTCATCTTGCTGGTCAGACGTTTTCTCTTGATTTTCTGATAGAGACTGTAACAAATCATCCAGACTCTGGGTGATTTGTTGATGCATTATTTGAGTAACTTTGGCTCCAACTGTGATTGATTGGAGATCCAAACCCTCAGAAAAAGCTTTGTACCAGGAGTCACTGTCATCAATATCATTCAATTAAATTCGTAACATTCAAAGGGTATTTTACAAGCAAAACCAGAACAAGTGGACGTGTTGGATTCTTTTCTATATTCATGAAGAGTGAAAAGTTAAAAGCAGAAGAATGAGCCACAGCCCAACTGAACGCCAGACCAGATTTTGCTTCTATGGAGAGAAAAACAGCAAAGAAAGCAAAACACTGACAGTTAACATAACAGCAAATGATACAAATTGTAGAGTAGAAGAAGAAGAAAGTGAGAATAAGTCTCCAGTTTGACCTCCAGCAGCCTGAGCCTGTGGCAGCGTAATTACAGAGACAGATCAGAATAACTGAACTGCCAACTTTATCAAAAAGGAAAGAATTAAAGACAGCATATTATGTAATCTGATCTTTTTGAGCTTTACATTGTGTTATAATGTTTCTCCCTCATAAAAACTGCTTTGATTTTTCCATGCATGTATGGAAACCAGTCAGAACGACTGGGTGGTCCTAGCTCCTCCTTGAAGGTCAAAGCTCCTCCACCACACAGCTCCTTCAGACTAGCCAGCAGAAATGAGCAAACACCTGGTGGAGCTACTCAGCCCATTATAGGAGCTACTTTTCAGTGAAATGCTGATAAAAACATTGATGAAGGTTTAATAAAGGAGCAATGTTGTTATTTAGATCAGGACATGATGTGTTGCATTTTTGCCTACTTCATGTCGTCAACAGGCTCTATTGAACTCATTTCTAGTTTCTTGCAGCAATCAGACCCATAAAATAGTTGAATTATGGTTCAACTAAGGGAGCGGGTTGGTTTTTCCAGCACCGCCTCGCAGCCTTGGGCTACCAGCTCATATTGATTGTCAGGCTTATGAACCAGTGACATGGGATGATTGGCAGTTTTCCTGAATTGATCGGCTGCCTCCATTATTCTGATGAGCGTCTGGCTCACGTCCTCCTGTCTGGTGAATGCAGGTAAACATCAGCTCACATTGTATGATTTTCCCGTCTCCTGCAGGTGGAGTAACAGGGGCTAAATAGTTAGCATGGGGAACAAAAGGAGGAAGGACGCCAGCTGAGCTCCTGCACCAAACCAGAAAACAGAAATGGCTCAATCAGTGAGACGGCCGGAGACGTTAGGAGCCGCCAGCCTCAAACCGCAGGCGGATAAAACCAGGAGCGGCTACTTCTGCAACGTGAAGAGCAGGTAGCTAAGCCAACTGACCGGCTGGCTGAAACCTTAATAAATGCTTCCAGAGGTCATAAAAGGTCAACTAAGCCAAAATCTAACAAAATTCATGCCAATTAACTCAATTATGTTTGTGCAGCAAACATTTTCATTTGCGCTGCTTTTGCTTTGAAGATATTCGGTAACTTGTGTGACTTTTTATTGATATTTAGTAACTTGTTATTAATATTTTTAAAATAATAGCAAAAAACAAAACAGTTTTCTTAGATTTGAGGACGGTGGGGGGCCGACTGCTCTGGGCCTCCATCATGTGGGTGAGAGGAGCCCCATCTTGGCAGGAAATGTTCGACGGCGCCCACTCCACTATAAATAACTCACAGCCGACTGCGGATGCTGCACTGCTCACACTTTGGCTCTCCAAGTCCGAAATCCACATAATAAAATCTGTGAAGAAAAATGAAAAGATACATGAAATCAAGCAAATATTGTTAAATCTTTCTTCTTTTTTTATGCTATTTATTGTAGATCCAAAAGTTTAAAACTTAGACCACACCCTAAAAGTATCCAATGTGGATAAGAGGAAAATACTCAGTGCAAATTTCCACAATGGAGATTTATGAATGCAAACTGTGTGGCACATTGCTCATTTATATTGTTAATAAATTACTTTATATTGGTATTAAATCAGTTTGTATTGGTAATAGGTCAGTTTGTGTCTCAGGTTAGGATCCAAGCTGCCTGCCGGTGTTTCTCAGCCTCCACGGTTCGCTAAGCCTCCCTGGGAGAATCGACCTCAGTCCCACATCATGCAGAACGCCACGGCCGGCGCTCCGCATAGCAACGACCCCGTCGCTGTGGGCCGAACTCTCGATCACGTCCCCCACATCAGGAACCCAAAGCTGAGGCAGTATTACCTGCAAGGTGCTGCTTGGCCGCATGATTTCAAATTTACTTCAGCATCAACTGCATGGTTTGAGGGAATGTGTGTTGAACTGAAATGACACTGTTATTATTTTTCTGGTAGCGCTTCAAGACGACATTAAACAAACTGAATTCAAGAGGTCATAAAAGGTCAACTCAATTCAAATCTGAATATTATTCAGATCCTGGTTTCAGTTTCATGGAGAGGAACCGGGCCACTGAAAAAAGGAAAACAATGTTGGACTTTTCACTCATAATTCTGACTTTAAATTAGACTTGAATTTGTTTGTCTTTGTACGACAATAATCTCAGAATGTATTTTTTTGTTTCTTAAATTTTAATTTTATTTTCAGAATTTTGACCTTTTTTCTGGAATTTAGATATTTTTTTTCAAAATTTTGCCTTTTTTAGAATTTTGAAAATTTTCTGAGAATTTTGACTTTTAGAATTTTTTTCAGAATTTTGACTGTCAGTATTTTTTTTCTCAAATTCTGATTTTAATCTCAATAATCTTGACTTTTTTCCTTCTCCAGATTAATGTCAAAATTACGTTTTTTAGTGTACCTTATCCTCTTTCGTACAGCTTTGTGTCCTAAGCAGATTTTACCCAGAAGTATCTTCAAAAAATGAAACAAGCTTAATTTTGTCCCTCACAGGAACTGCGTGGGAGCGAAGCAACACCGTGGCCACTGAGGTTGGTTCACCAGCAGATGGCAGCACTGTGAGTCACCGTTCATCATATCCAGTGGTTGTTACAGCAGCAGCTCCTCCATTGAAACGGATGAGCGAACTGATAACTGGGACATTTATGTAACATCTGTGTGGTTGCTAGGAATAGGACTTTTGGTTTTGAAATGCGTCTTCAGTTTTATGGCCTGAAAGTGTTACATAGGACGTGTCCAAGGTTCAGAGTTACGATTCAAGTTCAGCAGTTCTGCGACATCATGGGGAAAACGAGTCTGTTTAAGAACTTCTGCAGTAAATACAGTGGAAGAAACACACTTTCAGGCTTTTACTCCAAGGTACCTATCAGTTTAACTTTGATCATTTACTTATATTGTATTTCTGAGTTAAAAACGGGAAGCTTGGATTGATTTTTTATGAATCTCATATTCTCACACATTTAGAATAGCATTAATAGTTATTAGAGCTGTAAAACATTATATTCTGCTTCTTTGAACCTCTACTGACCCAGCAGTAAAATCTGAAACATCTGAAAATCTGAGCTGTATCTTGCTCCTATAAAGCAAGATATCGGAGGTTGTTTTAATCAAATAACAAATTAAAATTGCAGAAGAAGTTATAAGTGAAATCTGCCAATAGAACAAGGCATTTTTCCCATGTTATAGAAATAGAAATTACTTTGATATACGCTAAAAAAGCAATTAAATTAATACTTTTAAAAACTACAAAAAAGCTGAAATCACACTTAGCTTAAGAGTCTGCTATTATGAGTAAACATTTTCCAGTGGCAGATTATTTCACTTATAACTAGAACGTAATTAGGAAAACAAGGTTTTAAGGTAACAATCACTAAGTTAGTTTTGTCTTATTTCAAGTGTACTAAAATATTTGCACTAGAAACTAGACCAAAAATACTTGGTAAGTTTTTGTGTTTTTGCAGTGCGTTGTATCGTTTATAGCTGAATGCTTTTGGAGAATAATTTGCAGGCACTTTGTGGGGCTCATGAATGTTCTCATTATTAATTATTTACCACTGAAGTGTATGTTGAATGGAGATGTGTCAGAAGAGGTCTAAGTGTTGCAGGGTGGTAACTTTTCGTTTTAACTTGTCAGGAAATAGAAAACTGATTCACTGCATCAGTTAGTCACTGAGCGACGCTAACTGACCGCCGTATGTAAACCAGCTGCAGATGTTTTACATTTTCTTTTAATTTGCCTCCCAGCACCAATGAATTGCACAACACTTTAGATCATAAATTGTGATAACTGATGACATACACAAGACTTTTATTGTCGTTCAACGGACACCAACTGTTATTTATTGCATTAGCAAAGAGGTACATGTGAAGTGTTTGAACATGAGGTGATAAAAACCAACCGGAAACCATTTTGTTGCTGCTCGTTGCAGGGTCTCCCCGGGGACACGGTGTTCAGCGTTTCGTCTACGTTCAGCAGCAATGGATCCTCAGGAGACAAAACTGCATCGCAACTCAGCTCTGATACCAACGAAATAAAAGAGGTATGAGCCAGCTGTTAACATCTGATGTTTGCAGAAATGTGACTTGTGTCGATTTGTAATGCAAACGAGAACTTCCCCTGCTCTTATGACTAAAATATTCAGCAAGAAGGGAAGTTACTCCCTTAGTTTCCAGGCCTCACTCAGAACATTCAACTTAGAAATAAAAGCTAATATTATTTTAAGGGGTGCATGGTATGCCAAATTCACATTTTGCACATATTTGTGGTTCCATTCGGTATTCTGCTGCTTCTGAACACAAACCAAGCGATTATTAAACCCACCCAGCTGTTTTTTGGCAATAAATTGTTATTTTTGGTTGATTTGAAAACAAACCATTTCAAAAACGTCTCAAATGTAACATCACAAATCAGCAGACACTGACCTGGTAACCCCAGGGAAGCCCGACCCATTGCCTGGCAACCCCAGCAGAGTTCTTCCCGTTGCCTAGCAACCCCAGCAGAGTTCTTCCCGTTGCCTAGCAACCCCAGCAGAGTTCTTCCCGTTGCCTAGCAACCCCAGCAGAGTTCTTCCCGTTGCCTAGTAACAACAGCAGAGTTCCACCAGTTTCCTAGCAACCCAAGGAGAGTTCAAGGACATTTGGTCAACTTGTTTTACAAAGACATGGTCTTTGTTGTTGACTTTCCATCCAGAAACTACTTGTTGCATTCTTGTTGGTTTTGCAGGAGTATGGAGCTAAATTGGGACCATAAAGAAAAGGGGGAAAAAAGTTTAACTCATAAAAGAAAAATTTTATTTGAAATTATATTGAAACTGAAAAAAAATCTAAAAGAAAAAAAAGAAAAAACACTTTTGAATCTGAAAAGTAGATTTGAATTGTTTCCAGTTTTGAATCTTTTAATTTCTGTTTCAAAATGTTTTTTATTTTCAGTTTCAATTTTATTTATAATTTTTTTTTTTTTTTACAAATTTATCGCTCCAATTTAGCTCCATACAGGAGGCTCCACCTCTGCTTTTCAAAGTAGAGATATACCTTTGTGTAATTGCACATCTGTTTGCAGCCATTTTCATGTGGGAGAGTAAAGGTTGAGTAGGGGGGCGTGGCCAGCCGACGCTTATTTGGAATTAAAGTAACAAGACGCCGTAAAACATTAGGCAGAATTGTGCAGACAAAAATTTCATTATCCAAGAATAATTTTGTAAAAAAAAAAAAAAAAGTAACATTTAATTTTATTTCAGCTTAGGATAGGTTTTGCATTGATCTATCCTAACCTGTTCAAGACAGCACAGCAGTTCACCTTTAATCTGACATTTTGGAGCATCGCAGATAAAACAGCCGCTTCACATTTACAGCCCTCATCTCCCTCCTGTAGATCAGATGTGACTACAAACACGGAGAGGAGGGGAAATGCAGAAAGAGGAAGTGATCCCTCCTGTCTTCGTGGTGCACCGTGTGTCCATGTCAAAGTCAGAGTTAATCTTATCATGGCTTCCTTTCTGAAGCAGCTGGTCTCGAAGAGAAAAGATGCCTCAGTCAGTGGAAAATCCTCTCAGCTAGAGCTGGACTGCAAGGAGAAACCGGAGGCAGATGCAGATCAGGACTGTTTGGATTCGTTCCCGGCTCAGACGCCGTCTCCAGAGGCTGAATATGACAAACTTCTTGTAAGTGGAAAAATTGCTGCATGTTCTCCATTTTGCTGAGAAGTGTCTACAAGTTGCAACCTTTTAGAAAGAGGTGGTTTGCACCCAGAGATTGTTTATTAGCAATTATTTATTAGTTGGATTAATTGTGATGCACTAAAGAAACCTGCAGGTGTTTATGTTTCATATCTAAAATGATTTACAGAAAACAAACTTATTTACTTCATTAAAATATTGTGTTTTATAGAGCTGGAATGATTAATTGGATTAATTGTGATTAATTGATTATTTAAATAGCCATCAACTAATTTAGTAATTGATTAATCATTAGCATTTATTGATAAAACGACAGCAGTACTAAAGCCTAGACTACAAAAATATACATGCTTTGCATTTAAAATAAAAATAAAAACTTTTTTGTCTGTAAATATGTTCTACAGAATTTTGAACTTCAATTGGTTTCACATTCTGTTAAATAATTCTCCGATTAAGCACCTTTTGCTCTCCAATTATTAATTGGTTAATCCAAAAATCAATCACCAGATCAGACTTACTCTGTGATGACGTTAAATCAGAAGGAAACGACTGAGCTTTCCACATTTTTACTTATGCATCCTTTGTTTCTGCAAAAGTGACTCTTTTCAAGATGAAAAGAGTCACTTTAGGTAACAATAAATAAATAAATATGAAAAAAACCTTTATATTTAAAAAGGTAATTGAATTGTTTCATTTAATCTTTTAATGTATTTTTACTATTACACAAGAAGCCCTTTAGTGGAAAATCTGCAGAATATGGCAATTTTTATCTGATTAATTGATTAGTCGTCAGAATAATTGATTACTAATATATTAATGATTAATGTTACTTATATTACTAATAATCAATAACTAATATTATATTATACAAAAAGTTTTAAAAGGAATATCTGCAAAAGATGCCAATTTTTATTTGATTGATCAATTAATTGTCAGAATAATCAATACAATAATTGATTACTAATATTAGTAATACTATTGTTATTACTAATAATCCATTATAATATGGTATAAAGAGGCTTTAATAAAAAATCTGCAGAATTAATTTTTTTAATTTAATTGATTAATTGTCAGAATAATTAAGTACTAAAATAATTGTTACTTGCAGCTCCACTTGTGACGGTGCATCATGTCTGCCTTCTCATTTGAAAACTAACATAATCAATCCCAATACAAAGCAAAAGAAATCTTAGAAAAGCAAAGGTGGTTATTTTTTGAGCCTACAGACTTTTCAGGATTTATAAATAACTACTTAAAGAGGCCCAACATTTTGGTTTTGCATTTTAGACACATAAAATAAACAGTTTGGAAAGCATGCAAACTGCTCTGAAGGGACACTTAGAGGATCTAACACCATCCTTTATAAATCCTGAAGGACTCTTGGCTGAAGGAGTATTTACAGGCTGGGATACCTGCCAGAAGTAGGTTAGGGTTTGGAGGTATTACTGCTGTCACTTTAACTGGTGACTTTACAGCGTTGGTACCTGAGGTGGATGTAGTTTTTTATTCCCAATGAATAACGTGCTACGCTTCTCTTTGGAGATTTTTTTTACTCCCCTTATTGTCCTCCATATTGTGTGATATGGTAAAAACGGGTTATGTCCTGCCTTGCTTGTCACAGATTGTGCTGTTTTCACTGCTTTAACTGCTGTTCTCACTGTAGATATGGGTGAGTTCAGAGGAGAAGCCTTTCAGAGATCAATATTGTATTTATTGTAGCTAGAAAAATCATGAAGTCCTTTAATCCACGATGTCATTTTGGTTAACTGACTTAATGCTACTGTAGTCTTACATAAGCAGAGCCGGCCCAAGGCATATAAATTTAAAATTGCATTGAATAATACAAATTAAATACAGTTACTCATGGAAAAGTGATTTCTATATTATTTTTTTTATAGTTGTTACACAAATAAGTTAATATCTCCCTGCTGTTGACTGCTGCCACTGTTGATGGAAAGATAAGACTTCAACCTTTTTAACTTCTTTACTGCCAATTTAGTTTTTATCAGTTTTTATAAAACTGATAAGTCAGCCACAATTAAAATAATGTGGCTGACTTAAACACCGCTCTCATTTCAAAACCAATGTTTTTAGTTTGCTATTCCTGTAAGTTTGAAATCAACAGCCATAATAATACTGGTATGATGTAAGCTAATGATAAGATGTTACCACAAAGAGTAGCTTAGGAATGTTGGTATGTGGAGCCCTAAACAAATAGGGTCGGCCTTCACATAAGCTGTAAATCAATGAAAAAAACAAACTGATTCTTATATCTTAAGATAAAAAAAATCCTCTTGTTTTTATGAACCTGTTGATGTGACTTGCTGCTGGCAGGACGTGGAGGCGGTGCCGCTGCCAGATGGACACCTCTGCCTTCTGGCTCTCCCTCCGGAGTGCTGCCAGGGCGAGCGCCCGGCCGCCATGTTGTATCTCAAACTGTTCTGCCGTTACATCACCGACGGAAAGGTGAGGAACTACAAAATACAAACTCTGATTTCAAGAGTCTGAAACCCCATCTCCGTCTGTCTCTGTCAGGGTGTGGTTTCTGGTATCCTGGTGGTAACGCCCACTAAAATCTTCTTCGACCCGTCCAAAACCCATCCGCTGGTGACGGAACATGGCTTCGAGGATTACCTTCTGTCTTGCGCTGTTGACAGTTTGGCGTCCGTCTCTTTCTTCTCTGACGTTTCACACGTTCACTTCAGCGCCTCCCAGCACAGGTCGGCGCTGTTTCACTGCTTCGCACAAATCAGACAAATAGGTTCCAGTTAGGTCGATTAACGGTTTATCAGATTAAAATTAGTTGCAGTCGACTAACTAGTAACTTTTTAGACGTACTTTAAGAGCTGTAGTTGGGCCGCAGTCCAGCAGAGGGCGTAGCTGGTCACCCTTTTTAATTATGAAGACACAAAGATGGCGGCTGTGTAACAGAAGAGAAGCGTTCAGAGTCCGGTTTCGTATATAAAATGCACCTTATACGGTTCTGTTTTGAAGTATAAATACCCGACAAGCTCCTTAAGTAACATTATGGGGGAAAAATATCTAAAATTTGCAAGAAAAAACTTTAGATTAATCCAGGAAATTTTTGTGAGAAAAAATTAGGGTAGAAGAGTTTCAAAGATAAAAAAAAAAAGTTTACTTTTCAAACTCAGAAATTTTCTCTTTTTCAAGAAAATTTCTGAGATTAATCTCTTTTTTCTATCTGCAATGTCCCAAATACATCGTTGTATAATTCAACTGACAAAATAATATTGAAATTTAACTACTTATATTCAGCATATTATAAAAAATGATTTATGTTATGAAAAGATGGTTGATCTTCTTGTTACTAGACAAAACTGGTCTTTACATTCAGTTATTAATCGATAACTTGCCTCCTTAGCTCAAGGAAAAAGCTGAAATTGCAGATTTTGTTATTTTCATTGCAGAAGGAGAGGAAACGCAAAGAACATATTCCAGAAGCTTAAATCCACTAAGAGTCATGGAGGCAAAAAGCCAGAGGATTTCCCCCCGGCGCTGGTTTCTGCGGCTCCATCGGTGCTGCCCAGTCCCACCCTGAGCCTAACCAACCAGGTTTCCCAGCAGGACGAGGCGGACAGCAGAGACACGGACGATGTGGACGGGGGGCTGGACGGCGGCTCGCTCAGGGTGCTGACCGAGGATCCTGTGGGCGGTCTGGCCGTCCTGAGCAGCGCCGCAACTTTCTGCTGTGGTGGACCAGAGGACACGGAGAAATCCTCTGAGAAGAGTCAGACTGAAGGTAAGGCTGGATGACATGGTGTTTTAAAACTAAAACCATGAAGCTCAGCAATAAATTCAGCTTTTTGTTTATAGGTTAAATTTTGTTATTAGGATAGATTTGTATAGGTTACTAATATGTAAATCATTTCACATCCCAAAGTTAGAAATGTTCAGTGTATTCTAATCAACTAGAGCAGGATTTGTGTCACTCTTAAAAATTTACAATTTTAATTAGTGAATTAAGAAAAAGCGGATTTGGGAGAGTCTGCATATTTGGGGTCCTGTTTATGATAAAATCAAAATTAGAGTAAACATAGTTAATTTTAATTTATCAGAATTTTGCTCTTGTTGAAAATAACTATTTTCCAACTGGGCCTTATTACTGGTGGAAAAACCACCTGCTCTTTTACGTCTGCTGGTTTCATCTTGGCTTCTTCTTCTCTGGACGTCTGTTTGCCTTCCAGCTCCTCGAAGGCCGTCGGCAGGAAGTCTCGGCGGTTTGATGTTCTTGCGACTGCGGGTTCAGTCGCCTGCAGGGAAGAAGAAGAGTTCATCTAAAACTTTACCCAGGAGGGACACCTGGCTCGCTCTGACACAAGAAAGGTACAGAAAGGAAAAACAATGTCAACAGCAAAACCCACAGACAATACTACAAAACATGTGAAGAAATACTGACTTTTAGAACGGTTTTTCCTCAGCTTTTTTCAGTATTTCTCACTTTTGGTTAGCACAAGTGCTAACCTCACCTCTTCTGATTTCAGGTTGGTATGTGGGCTGAATTTTTTTTGTTTTGTAACTGAACCAAAAACACCAAATTCCACGTCACATCTACATGATAAGGTTGTCAAAGTGAAGTTAGCATAACTGAACTACTTCCCTCTCCCTCACTATTTTTTTCTCTTAATTAAAGCACTGTGTCCCTTTTCTTTGATATATCATGCATACATTTAAGATTTAGCGTGTAATATTGATAACCTAACAGCTAAAACCAATGCTAGTCATTGTCAGCTAGCAGGTTTTTGCTCTCCAGCTGGAAATGGGGGTGGGATCCATGCGACGTCATGCTGCAACTGGTCTATAAGAACTGATGGTCGATGTTGAAAGAACAAGAAAAACTGAAATGTTTTGCTGTTTGGCTTTTGATTTTGTCAGATTTATAGTGAATTTATTCTGCTTTGGGGGTTTTTTTTGTTGCAAGGTATTTCTGCTGTTTTTACTGAAGTGAATGAATGATTCCAACTCATTTAAAGTCACCACTTGTTAACAGGTGACTTTTTAACATGCAGATTTGCTATTTTTTCCTTGTTTGAATGAGAGAGGAAAAGCAGAGTTGATGTTAAATCCTGCCTTCCTCGCAGCAGCGTCTCCTTTCTGCTGCAGCTGTCGCTGTTGTTTGTCATCCCAGTAATCCTGACTCATCCTGCTCCCTCTGCAGCTCAGAAGAGCTGCGCTCCTTCCTGAAGCTTCACCGGTCAGACCTGCGTCTCCTGGACGGGGAGGAGGAGCCAGACCACGATGAAGAAGAGTTTGTTCTCATTGAGGACAAAGTAGAGGAGGACGCAGAGATGTTTCAGACGCTGCGTGGCTCTGGAGATGACTGGGAGGTGAGCAGGACCCTTTCCTACCTGTAGATTAAAAGCAAGAGGAGCTAATTTGGCGTCTGTGTTTCTTCTTTGGAGATGGTGTTGATGGAGGAGAATAAAGACAAGCTGGACGCAGTGATTGACAGGGAACCCGAAGGGGTCGGTAACGTCGTGGAGAACAGCCGCGTTTTGCAGGTTTCACATGTCAGAGAGGTGAGCGCCGCGCCGCCATGTGATCCCACTGTTGACACAAAGCACACATGCACTTTGAAAAGGCTCGACTCAGTTGAGCTCAAAGGTTTAATTACTGCTTTGTTGCTTTTAATTCAATTTAAAACTTAGTAAAGTTTTGATTACATAGGGCTGCAACTAATGATTAATCTGTTTATTCTGTACAATACTGGAAATACATTAATGAAATGCAAATAAAAAAATGATTTAATTCCTCTATGATTAATCGATTACTAAATTAGTTTCTGATTATTTCAATAGTAGATTAATCATCTCTCCTTTATTGGTTAATTTTCTGCAGATCATCTCGTTTTAGGAACTCAACCAGATAAATATTTCGCACCTTTTGACTTTAAATGCCAACATTGAAAAGTTTATGTGGGAGATACAGTCAAGGTTTGTAATACTTCAACTTTTTCAGTATATTCCGGCTTGTGCAAACGAATGTTGAGAATATTAATCAAATAAAACATTTACATTCTGCTTCTTTTAGACAATCTGAAAACAATAAAAACATTTATAAGTTAAAATGTTTCACAGGCTGCTGATTTGTTGCATAAAATCCCAGAAAAACCCTTTGAGGTTTTTGGTTTTCAAGTGAAATGTTTGTTATTTTCCAGCTGTGTAAGGAGCTTCCTGCCCGGACGGTGGGCCGCGCCTGGCAGCTTGCTTACAGCACATCCCGGCATGGCGCCAGCCTCAAGTCTCTCTACAGGAAGCTCAGCAGCACCGACTCTCCTGTGCTGATCGTCATAAAAGATGCTCTGGATGAGGTAAAAACTGTAACAGAAACTATAAATGTGGTGCCGGCTATTTTTAATCGATTGTGAACTAATCCATCAGCTTTTTGGGGCCTTCCTGTCTGATCCTCTGAGACCCAGTGAGACGTTTTATGGTACTGGAGAAACCTTCCTGTTCATGTTGCATCCTCGTTTTAAGGTAAGCTAATAAAACAAACTCTAGATTTTAATGTTATCATAAAGAGAAAACATTTCCAAAATGACATAATTTGTGCGATTTTTTTGTAACTTAGAGATTAGTATGGAGGTTACCAGAGAGCATTAACCAACAAACAACGATACAAAAATATGAGAAGAAACATCGACTTTTGGAAAGTTTTTACTCATTATTAAATAATTACTACATTCATTGGGCCAAAATACGAACCTCATGAGTCTTGTGGAGGAAAACTTCATTATCATTTAACATATTATTTTATAACACAATGTTTTGTATTATAATTTTTTTCGAAATACAATTTTGATTATAAAAAAATATATATTTCATATTAATCACATCCTTTTTTTCTTGTCAGAAACATTTCCATTACATGTAAATAAGTTACTTTATTTCAATGTATTTCATACTAGTTTTTCCGTGTCTTTTTTCTCATTCTACCAAAAAAGTGGATGATAAAAGTCTACAGTTTTTCTTTGGTTTTTAAGGACAATATAGTTTGCAGAGACTTAATAATTTGTTTCTTTTGGATATTTAAAATGTCTTTTCTTTAAAATGTTTTCAGAGCTTCAAGTGGACAGGAGAAAACTCCTTCTTCATTAAAGGAGACTTGGACTGCTTCGCTGTCGGCGGTGGAAGGTAAAAATGTTTTCAGCTTTGCATTTCGTCTGTTTCAGGATGAGATAATCCTTTATTAGTCACATGTGGGAAATTTAGGCTGCTTGGCAGAAAAGTTGGGACAATCTGCAGGTTTTTCATTTTACACTTGAGCCGTTTTTAAATACAATATAAAAAATACATAAAAAGATGTGAATAAACAAATAATTCAGTTACTTTTTAAAATAAGAAAATTTACATTTTAGAATAATGTAAGAATAATATGTATTGTATTGAAAATGTAAATCTATAATAAAGTATACCTTATAATAAAAGAAATATATAGAAAATATGTTTACTTGAGTTATCAGTTTGCTGTTAGATGTTCGCGATTAATCGATAACTATATTAGTTGACAATTATATCAAATCTATTAGTTTTGAATAGTCAATTACTAAGTTACTTAATGATTATTTTGAGATTTGATTAATTATGATCAATTGTGATTGTGAGTAATTTTAAATTAGTTTATTACTTCAATAATTAATTACTTGATTACTGAATTACTTCACAATTTTAATAATTGCTTAATTTTGACTAATCATTACTAAAAAAGTTGATAATTATTTTAATAATTGATTGATCATGATATTAATGTATTATGGATTACTAAATTAGTTGACAAGACAAAATCAATTACTCAAATTAATCATTACTAAATTAGTGAAGAATTGTTTCAAAGATCAATAAATTATGATTAATCAAATAATTTTTTTCATTAATCATGATTAATTGTATTAATCGTGATTAATTGGATTGATCCTGCTGCTCACTCGGCCTCGGTGCGTCTCTCTCTCCCCCCCAGCGGTCACTTCGGGCTGTGGGTCGATGAGAACCTGTATCTGGGCCGCAGCAGTCCTTGCTACACCTTCAACAACTGCTGCCTCTCTGAAACCGACGATTTCCGCATCATGGAGCTGGAGGTGTGGACGTTCAACTGAGGACAGGGCTAATCGCCCAGAAGAAGAAACCAATCACGTCTACATAGATCACATATATAGATGTGTATCACCAGACTGACCTCAGACAAACTGAGTGCTCTTAATGTAAATTAGCATCCCCATTGTTTTATAATTGAACATTAACACGTGTAAATACAATCTTGCCTTCTTAATGCATGACTAATGTTAAAATACGTACGAGATCTGAGGAGTTAATCTGCTCTTCATCAGCGCTGCGGGTTTTGGTCCAGCTGGAACGGAGACGATTCGTTTTTCTCTTCTACGCCGTAGAAAGTGGAGAACGAGCGTCATCACTGCTGGTCAGGACTCTGACCGATCTACCTGACTTACATCATTCAGGCGATTAATTCATGGAAATCTGCACAATGTGAATTTGAATGATTGTTCAGTGGATCTACACGGACAGTAAAACGTTTGCTTTGACCCGTCATCACCTCCAGAGACGCCATTTTGATCTGGGATTTAATGACGCCTATAAATTGTTTTGGTAAGTTGGAGTGATCACATACGATGAAGTATTACGGCCATACTAACAAAATAAAAAGTAAAAAATGTAATTTATGAGAATAAAGTCATGGTATTACAACTTTATTATCAATACTATGAATAAAGTACTACTGAATTAGTTTATTATTTCAATCTATTTATAATAATATGAATTAAGTTGTAATAAGAATAAAGTCATATTTTGAAAATAGTCTTATTACAAAAATGAACTCAAAATAATTCAAGACCAAGCATATGACTTTATTCTCATGACTGCTTTATATTACAACTTTATTCTCAGTTTACTCTGTTGCAAACAATTTACGAGACTTGTCACATTTTCTTAGTGTGGCCCTAAGGCTCTGTCACAATTATATAAAACAATTGGGTTTTTAAAGGCAAAATTTAATTCACAGCTTTGAATTTGTTGGTAATTTTCTCTAATCTAAACTCTGCCTCCTAATATTTGATTAAACATTTATTATCCAGCTCCAGAGAAACTGCACTTTCGCAGCTATCCATAAATCTGGATGGATATTTGACTTCTCTTTTAATGCTGATGACCAGAACTGTTAGATTGCTAAGAAGAAAAAAAGACTGATTTGTACAGAAAAACGTGTATTTATTATGGAAAAATGGCACCAATAGTTCAGGGAAGAACTTGTTTCTCCAAAAGGCTTTGTACAGGAAACTGAAATGACCTGGTTATCGCTCTGGGAAGTCTGTAGTAACCAACTTGTTTTATTTTCAAATGTAAATTAATGAAGTAACTGAGGCATGAGATGAAAACAAAAATGTTTGTCTAACACAGTAAAACAGGCTCTATACCCAAAACATCTTTGCACTCAAAACATCAGTTTTGTCTCCTGTAAATATGAAGCAAGTGGAATAAACCTGAAACAATGCTCTTTGGTCTGATCACATTGATATCTGCACACTACACATTTTTAATAAAATAAACGAAAAAAGAAAATCTACATTTTATGTGCCAGAGTTTGAGTGTTTTGCTGCTCCAGCCGCATCGGCAACAACATCAGGCGTCCCCCGGCTCGGAGAGCTTTCAGGCGACGACGTCACAAAATGCACAAAACACGGCAGGAGCAGCTCTGGACGCGAAGACGCTTCAATACCACACAGGCAGAGCCGCGAGAAAGACCCACTGTCTGCAAAAAGGTCCTTTAACTAGGGCTGGACCAATTAATCATGATTAATCAATCTGAAATAATCAATTTAGTAACTGATTAATTGCTAACTAGACTGCACAGTGAAAAATCCATCAGATTGATTAATCGATTGAATCAATAGGATTAATCAAATGTGATTAATTTCTGAAATAACCATGAATTAAGTAATTAATCGTTAACTGGTGCATACAGAAATACAAAAGAACTTGTGCACATCAGTAACTAAACAAAATTTATCAGCTGATGTTGATAATATCAACTGATTATATCAACATCAGTTTTTGTTTTTTTTTTTGTTTTAAATATCTGAAATACTAACAAACTTTTGGCACTTTTCTTGTTTTACCAATTTTTTTATTTTTAATCAGTTATGAGTCACTGTGGCAAAACTTTAAACTGCTGCTGTGCAAGTTACTCAACAAGCTGTTGCTAGGTAACCATAAGTTACTCAACAAGCTGTTGCTAGGTAACCATAAGTTACTGGACAAGCTGTTGCTAGGTAACCATAAGTTACTCAACAAGCTGTTGCTAGGTAACCATAAGTTACTGGACAAGCTGTTGCTAGGTAACCATAAGTTACTGGACAAGCTGTTGCTAGGTAACCATAAGTTACTCAACAAGCTGTTGCTAGGTAACCATAAGTTACTCAACAAGCTGTTGCTAGGTAACCATAAGTTACTCAACAAGCTGTTGCTAGGTAACTATAAGTTACTCAACAAGCTGTTGCTAGGTAACTAAAGAGTGAGTTAGAATATTCCACCAACTTTGCTGAGCTAGCCAGGAGAGTTTGAGTGAAATTATTTAACATTTTATCAAATGTAATATGTGTTTATCTTGATCTACAAAGAAATGTGTTGTTATTGATTATTGTCCTGCCCTATGTCAGAATAACTGATGGATTACTGAATTTGCAGCCCTAATTTTAGCACAAAAAGTGTGTAAGTAAATAAAAATTAAGTGGGAAAAAAACTTCTGCTGCAGACAGATCATAGATCTTCTCTAAATGCCAGTTGCTGTGAAATACATAGTTATTATTGGGTTACGTAGTCCTTTGCTTTCTTCAGTCCCTCCTTCAGGAAGTTGATGTACGTGGATGTGGAGGGGTCCTCGAACCCCCCAGAAAAGCTGAAAGTTGCCCCTTCGTCCTCTGGTTTCATTGCCGTTTGGTCGAGGAAGTAGTTAGCGTTGATGTGGTGGACCTGAGGAACACGCAAGAAAGCCATTTCCGTTTTTATCTGATCAGGAAAGGAGGCTGCACATCGCTGAACTGATACCAAGAGTCCAGAGCAAAAATAGTTCAGGGCTGTCTGGTTACAGAACAATGAACAATTATAACACTGAACGCAGGCAGCCTGCTGCACATTCCCCCAACATGCATTTACTAAATTAACATTTTAACACGAGTCGTATATAGAATACAATATACTGTATTGATCCCCACAGGGAAACAGCTCATGAGTTCACAAGCTACTCCATCTACAGTATTAAATATCAGTAAAAGTAAATAAAAGCCATCACAAGTAATTGCAGGTAACTTCTAATTAAAATTTACATTTACAATAAAATAAATGCATAGTTGACTCAATATTTACAATGGTTCCATTGGGCAACGCCACCAACATCTCCACTGGGAAGCTGTACTTCTCCAGATGTAACTGGGCCTTTTCGCTCAGCGCAGGGTTCTGCTTGTCAGCCTGAAACAGAAACAAACTGAGCACTTGTGTAGCTGCAGAGCAGGTAAATGGTTTCACTGGTTCTCCACTGCACTGGGAGCTTACCTGCATGTTCTCCAGCTCTTTGACCAGAGACCAGCTGCTGATGAAGCTCTGGTTGAGCAGAGCGAGGACGGGCGAACTTTCCAGGACCGTCTCCCGGAGAGTTCGCCCCGAACCTGCAGAGAAGACAAACTGAAGGTGAAAAAAGTAGAAAAACCTGTAGAATCAAGAAATAACATCAACCTGCCTGACCAGTGGGGGGTATAATTCTGCTAAAGTGCTAGCAGAGGAACACATTTTCAAGCTTATTGCTTTAGCTTTGCATGATTTCTGACCAAAGCCCTTCAGTAGTCAGCTAGGTAAAAATTAACAATAGAACTCACCAGCTATAAAACTGAAACCACTAGCAAAAGATGCTAAGTTTAGCATGGTTAAAATACTGCTTAGGAATTAGCTTCAGCTAAATAACGCATTGATGTAGCGCTTCATTGTCAGTAGAAGTAGTGGTCATAATTAGAGCTTTAAGGTTGTGCGCTAACTTTAACATGGTAAAAGTTAGCACTTTAGCATTAGCTTCCACTAGATACCATGTTGTTGTAGTTCTTTAGCATTAGCAGAACTAATATTTATGATTAGCACTTTTGGGTTGTATGTGCATCAACTTTATCATAGTTAAAGTTAGTTGCGAAGAATTAGCAGCCACTAAATACCATGTCAGTATTCATGATTGGATCCTTCAGGTTGGGCGCCAACATGTGCGCTAACTTAATGTTTTAGCATTAGCTGTCCTTGCTGGAAAGTGTGGGTGACAATTCCTCACTCATCGGCAGTTATTATTAAAGCTGGGTGGCTAATCCTGTAAATTAGCTCCTCATTAGCAACATTACCTCAGCAGGACTGATCATCTAAAGCTCCCCAGAGCAGAATCGAATGGACCAGCTTCTTCTCTGATTCTGCTCGTTCAAAAGCCTCTGCAAAAGGCAAGTAGGGGACCTGCAAACACATGAAGGTCAACAACAACCCGCTGCTGCCACCTACTGACCGTTCAGCCTCTCCAGTGGATGGTTACCTTCTTAAACGGGTAGAAAGTGACCTCCAGGCGGTAGGAAGCTTCCTCCTGACTGATCGCTGAGGTCCAGCGAATTTCCTCAAAGACGAACTGGATCGGTTCGCTGCGTCCGTCCCGGCTGTCGATGACGTTTCCATCCTCATCCACAATGACAGAGGGAGTGGAGGGGCCCGCAGACCGCAGTTCCAACTGCAAACAAAAAGGTTTTCTACTCACACTGAACTACAGTGGAAATAAATAGGGCTGTTGAATGACGCTGACTTCAACTGTCTTTCATATTTATACTCAGATCTGCAGGGGGGAAACTGCAAGAATTAAAAAATTACAATAAATTGGTTACTTTAGTACAGAACAAAATTAGGGCCTCTGAAAAATTCGGACTATAATCTCAGAATCCAACTTTTTCCCCCAAATTTTGACGTCAACCTCAGAATTTGAAATTTAATTTCCTCCCAGAAACTCGACTTTTTATCGAAATTCCAAATTTAATGTCAGAATTCTGATGTTTTTCACAGAAAACTCAAAATGTGGAGTGTGAAAAGTGCAGGTTTACAAATCCTCAGAAGGAACAATTTGAGGTCTAAAAACATCATACCCAAGAATATTTGGTTATTGTTTTGGATTTTGACACGCTGACAGAATTATGATTCTTAGTTCAAGGTCAAAATTCTGAGAAAAAAGTCAATTTTCAGTGAATGAATTTCATAACAAAATCAATAGTAATCCAACAAATATGCGTCGACTACGCTAAAAAAATGTTGCTTCATAAGAATATAAAAAGTTAATTTCTATCAATTTTATTTGCTTTTGTTAATGTGTTGAGGGGAAGGCAAAATAATATTTGGTGACTGATGGAAACTTGATATATTTGCTATAAATAGTTTCAATAGAAGTTAAACTAAAGAAAAAATGGAGATAAAACGGTTGCTTGTTTAAATGAGAAACAGAAGTAGTCAGGTTAAACTTGAACAATGAAAACTTTTATCTCCTAAGAAATTAGACAGTAATTTCTATTGTTACAGAGCAAGAAGTGATCTAGTGATTCCTGCATGTAAACAGTAAACGTTCATTCTCACCTGTGGCAGGTAACCGATGTCCACCTCCATGTTGCTGCTCTCGCTGGCGCCATACAGCCACTCCATGTCCACGTTCAGAGACCTGCGACACAGCGGGACACAGTGAGCGCAAAACTTCTGCTGATATTCCGCTAATGTCGAAAAAACAGAATTGCTGTGTTTCCATTAATTAATTAAAATCACATGTAAATAGGTTTGTTTATGCCGCGCCATCTTCCTCCGACCACTTCAGGCTCTTCCTGGTTTGCGCCAGTGTCAACTGCCAGTTGTTGATCATGTGACGAGAAAACGTATTTTGCAAAACACATTTATTTCAATGTGGCCAAAAACCATCTCGTCCTAGGGTCAAAAATTACAATTTATTTTTGAAATATCAAATTGCGCAATTTGGTCAATGGAAACGCAGCTACAGTAACTGCTGTTTCCTCGCATGGCATGGATGATGATATATGTTAATATAATCTCATGTAACTATTTACATCCATCGCTGCCATGATTTCTAATAACTTATCGCATGAACAAGCCAATTCAAATGTGACTTTAATTACGTTTCTTATTCGATGCTGGCGTGGCCGAGCACCGCAGAGGGAAAACGCGCAGCAGCAGCTTTTACCTGTTACTGGGGACATAAAGGCGGAAGTGACGGACGTGGGAGGCGTCCTTCGAGATGACGATGTTTCCGGTGAACTGACCCGGGGTGAACCAGAAGGGAAAGTTTGGAACATCATTGAGCTGAAACTCTGCGTGAATCCTGCACACAATGAAAATCTGAGTTTGCATTACACACATTTCAATGAAAGAGCTACGTATTAATATGGATTTGTGAGATCCACCCACTTCAAAAAGTCTAATTTCTTCCCTTTTATTCGTTTACAATTACGTGGTAAGGTTTCAGGTTCCAGAATTCTAAACAAAACCAAAAAAATATTTCTATAAACTAAGAAATTAACACCTAGTCCACACAGCTAACAAGCTAATTAATTACCTCATTAATGATCCCTGCAGCTGTTGATTAGCTAATTTAAACACCTGTTGTACCAATGATCTGTCAGAGTTGGTGTATACGTCGCCTTTTTTTGTCCACTGAACCAAAACACGGCAAATTCCACAGCACATCCACATGTTAAGGTTGTCATAGTCAAGCTAGCATAACTGACATACTTTCCTTTCACTCACTACTTTTTGTAATTGCAACTTTTTTGAATTACAAAAAAGTAATTTTGTAATGAAATAAAATTAACGAACTAGTTGTTATATAGTTAGTAGCATAACAACATGACACTGTTATGCTCCCAGCAGGAAGCCTGGGATGAATGAAGCTGCTAGCTTCCTCACCTGAAGACGATGTCATAGTAAAAGTCGCTGCTGGCTCTGATGCAAGCGACGGTTCCCTGCGGTGCAAACCTCGACTTGACGAAAGGCCGCGGGTGGAACATGCTCAGCAGGGAGTGGATCAGAACCTGCAGCAGAACCAGAACGTTGGATCAGAACAAAACCCAGCTAACCCAAACAGACCGAGCCGGAGCGCTGGATCACCTCTTTGCCCTTTGGGGTGGGAGGGTGGTACCGGTTGTTGGGCAGGTAGCCAGTGAAGATGTTGAGTTCGCTGGGAATCACCCACCATGCGTCTCCCGGCTCCGTTTTGCCCTTTGGGGGCAGAAACACCCGGAAGTGTCCGGCGGGGAACGAGGAGGAGGGAACGACAGGGTGCGTCCAGGAGCGGAGGCCGCTCAGCGAGCTGTGAGAAACCTGCACCAAAACAATACCGGTTCATACACTTCAACACCTTTTGGATGTTTTTTATTTAATGGTTTTTACCCCGAGAAAGCCGTCGCGGCTTTTTGTCATGGAGTCCAGCAGCAGGGGCTTCATGCTGGCCTCCAGAACCAGAGTCTCCCCGTTTGGGTCGTCAATCACATCCTCTTCCAGATCCACCGACGCTGTGATCCCTGCAAGGAAAACACAGTTACAGCTCCTTGGAAAAGTACTTTCATCCCCTAAACTCAATACAACCACAAACCTGAAGGGGTTTCATTGAGATTTTATGTGAAATGTTACATTAATCTGATTTGACTGACAAAAACAATATTGAGAGTTGGCCTATTATGTAACATTGCATTGTACTCATCATATTTTCATTTGGGTCTCTATTGCTTCTGAAAACAGCAAAGCATTTAAAAAAACAACAAACAGCCGTTTTTGACAATAAGTTAATGTTTTTTGGCAACATGATTATTCTACCTAACTCTGGATTCAATAAGTATTTCTTGAAATTAATTAAATTAACATCTTTTCACATTGATGTAATTTGTCAGTGTACAAATAAAAAACTGCTTTGATTTCACTATAAATTATCATAAAAATAATATCTAAAGAGGACCTATTATGCAAAATGTATATTTTTATACTTTCATCTGATAAAATGTTTTGGCATAAATTTAATGCTTCTGGTGTTTAGAAAACAAGCCGTTTCAAAAACCTCCTGATTGTTAAGTCACTTTCCACTGCGCCGTTTTTGGTCAATTGGTTTTACGTGAAAGCATAATGGGTCACAGCGAAAAGGTTGAATATTGCAGATAAACAGAACGACCAAAGGACTGGTTAGGAAATGAAAACAGGTGAAGAGATTGACCTGTGAGCTTCTCTGCGATGGGTCTGAACTCCTCAGCGCTCAGGTAGAGGTCGTGGTCCGTGTCCAGAGAGGAGAAGAGGAACAAGCCTTCGACTCCCAGAGTCTGAACCGCCTCTTCCTAATGAGCAGCACGGATATTTATTTACATAAAAACCATTAAAGATCACTAATGCTCAACCAAAAACTGGGACACGATGAGTCGTGACAACAGTTGAACTGAAATCCTCCAGGGCACAAATAGTCACAAGCTTAGATCATGGGTGTAGGCACACAAAAATGTATTTACAAAAATTCATCAGTATTCTATGGAGGAAGAATAGAGAATTATGATTTTTATGCAGATGGGCATCTGGGAGCAATCATCTAATGAAACAGATAGGAAGACAGCAAACATTCGGGAGGAACGCCTTAAATCTAAGGGACTTTCTCACATGGCTGAGAATATGATAATTATGAGAAAAAAGTCAGATTGGAGAGAATACAAGTCAGAAATCCAAGCTCAAACTCTGAATTTGGAGAAAATGACAATTTATAGATTGAAGTCAGAATTCTAATGTTAGTCCTAATCTTGATTCCCCCCTATGCCCCCACCCCTAAAATTTCTAAAATCAAAATTATGAGAAAGAGTCATAATTCCAAGGTTTAAACTCTGAAATCAGATTTTTTTTTTACCATCAGAACGCTCAAATTAAAATCAAAACTCAAGATTTTTTTTCCACAGAATTCAAAGATTAAAGTCACAATTCAGAGAAAAATGTCAGAATTCTGTGGAAAAAAGTCAGAACTCCAAGAAAAATCAAAATTATTTTTTTTATATTTTACTCAGATTTCTGAGAAAACTAGAACTCTAATATTTTTCAGAAAATTCCAGAATTAACGTCAAAATTCTGAAAAAAAAAGTCTGGATACTGAGAAAAAAAGTTTAATTTTGGGAAAAAGACAATTTGGAAAAAAGCGTTAGAATTTGGAGAAAATAGTCAGAATTCCAAGGCTAATTCTGATCTTTATTTTTTCTTTGAGATCCATTTACTTTCTTCTCAGAATTCCAATATTAAGATCTTTGAGGGAAAGTCATAATTCTCAGTTCATTGTCCTGGACGGAGCCTGAGGAGCCATTATGTCCAGTCTGACCAGCAGAAGATGCGTGTCTGCCAGCAGCTCTGCAATGGAGGGACGTTTAGGAGGGCTGCAACAACTTGGAGCCAAACTGCTGTGGACTTCAGGCTTTGTCATGTTTTAGCAGCTGGCAGGCAGACAGACAGACCTGCCCACCCAATAAAACCACAGCGGGGCCACAAAACTGCTGATGGGACGGATGACAGAAAAACAGCGAGTAATTGGAGGAAAATACCAAAATTCACGTTTTCTGATTAATCCCAGGTCATTAAACGCAACTATGAGTCATTAAATTATGTCTTTAAACGCAACTGAGATGGAAATCCCAGAAGTGGATCTTACATGACGCTTGAGAAGCTGGGAGTTCTGGTAGTATTTTATCCCAAGTCCAGCCAGAGGAACCGCGAGGACCGCCAGCAGGGACCACATCCATCCGCGGAACCAGGCTCCACATCCCGGACTCCTCTGCCCACTGCGCCCGCTGCTGCGTTCTCTCTCCGGGGTGCTTTTATCCACGTCTGCGGCCATGCTCGACCCCCGCTTCAGGAGCTCATTGTAGCCTGATTAGCTGCTAAACCTGCTGCAGGCAGGGCTTCAAATCAAACAACCGAAGAAGAAGAGTTCGCCGGGAGAAGAGACGCTTCCCCAGCTGTTATTTCTGCACAGATTTCTGTTTCCACATCCAGACTGGAACCATATGGATGCGGTTACACGAATAAAGTTAGTATCGCCGATCAACACGATAAAAACCGGATGTTGTGCAAACCGGGCTACACATTTAAAGCTCCGATAATCGAAAGACTTGTGGGTACACTGCAACTTCATTTGCTTTATGGAATCCAATTAATTTGTCAATCTTACTTTATTTATGTTTAGCAAGACAGTTGACTAAAATTTATATTTTTATTTAGATACATTTAATTTATTGACAACTTAATGGACAAGTTAATTTACTTAATTTGGAGCAAATGATCAAAATTGCCACAAGTTATGCAATTTTGTAAATTAGATTACATGTCTTCTTAAATTAAGAGATTTTTTGGGGGAAAAAAGTGGGAAATTCTCTGAGCTCCAAAACTGGTAAATTTGTCAGGAAGACATTACAAATTTTGAGACTAATTTCAGAAATATTCACAGAAAGAACAAGAAAGTTTGCCAAGCAAAAGTAAAAAAATATTCAACTTCAGATTATCTTTTCTTTAATTTTTTTTTCTTGAAAATATGTGAAATTTATTATAGATTTTTAAATTTAATTATTATTATTATATACATTTAATTTGTTTATGGTGCATTTATTTATATAATTTTGCCACCCCTAGCACTCCATACATCTCAATCAACTATGACTCAATATAACTTCTTGCTGCATTTCTTTTCATTGCAAATAAGTTTCTTGCCATTATTTGCACATTCTTATTGTTTGCAAAGTTATTTTTAAACTTTGCATATTTAAATCCATGTATGTCTGATTCATATATTTTTCTCTAAATTAACCTAAATCAACATCAACTTTATAAATGCATTGAATTCAACTATATTTTTGAAAAGGCTGCTGGATATTAATTTTCTTATCTTGTAAATTTGTCATTACTGTTTAGTTTCTTGTTCTTTTTAGTCCTTATTAAACTCGAATTGCCTCACTTTGTGTCACAACAAAAACGTTGAATAAAATACAAAAGTCAAGCTGACCGCGTATTTATTTTGAAAACAAACCGGAAGCTTTAACCATATGACTCGTAAATATTTGAACTTTGACGTGCTGGCTCGGGACTCCCATTTAAAGGGGCAGGGTCCCCTTGACCATCCGAAGAATGTCTCCCTATCCAGAGTCAATTCCACTTTTTGTGCCAGAAAAAAAACTGCTGTTAGTTTTCAACCCAAATCATTTGCTTTTCCAGCAGAGCTGGATAGACAAACTCTCCTGAAAATAATAAAACCAGAGAAAACAACTACATTTTGTTTACATGAAATCAAAATAAAACATCAACATTTATAGGTGTAATGTGAAAAATGTTAAGGTTATGAATTTATCAGGTACTGCAGTTCCGCATTTGAACTGAATCTTTAAAATAAATTTTTATATAAATTAAATAAGGAATTAATTTGTTTAAAATCTTGTAATTTCACCAATTAAGTTAGCATAGCCACCAATGACACTGGATAAACAGATATGGTGAGTCAAGAACAAAACACTTGTCTTTTCCAGCAGCCATTGTACAGCGCTGAATCACCTGACCAAATGCTGGAACTCAGTCGGGGTTGCTAGGTAACACAGCTAGGCTATGCTAGAGGTTGCTAGGCAACAAGCTATGCCTGCTGATTTGTTACATTGTATTTCTAGACACCAGAAGACATGAAATTATTGCCAGAAATCAGCCTGGTGGTTTTTAAGCACTTGGGATGTTTCTAGAAGAGAAAAATGGAAGAAATGTGCAAAACATGAATTGTGCATAAAAAATACGCTTTAAATATTTTATCAGTATTACCAAATAAATTTTTTATTTGTATACTGGACAATTACATTAACTCAAAATTATAATAATAATTAATTACCTTTAAGAATTACTCTGTAATTTCAACATTTTAATATGTAATTTGTAGTCTATTATTCCACATTTACATGGATATAGATGGCAGAAAGTTACAAGCTGTCATATACATAGCAGCTTTGTGATCATAATAAATAACAGAAGGATTCTGTTGATGAGAGTCCGTCCATTAAGCAGCGTTCAGTCCATGTTTTCCTCCACAGGTTGCGTTTTCACTTCTACGGTTTTCGGGGCGATGTAAGATCCCATCCCTGCGGCGCGCTCCGCCTCCGCCTGCGAGTACGGCTCCTCCCTCAGCTGCTTCAACCTGCAGACACACACAGGTGAGCCGCCACACTCCTGTGGGGACAAGCGTCTCTCCCCAGGATGATGCTGCCACCTACCGCTTCTTATGCACTTTGGTTTTGAAATGCTCCTTCAAGGATCGCATGTCGACAAAGTATCGCCTGCAGAAGAAGAAGAAGTCAACAAACACAAGACAGAAGAGTCAGGCGGCCATTAATTATCTGTGACTTTACTTTTGACTTTGCTTTGTGATGTTTATGAATACATTCATTTAGCCAACACTTACTGGTTTTAACATCTAAACAAACTTCTTTCTACCTATCAAGAGGAAACACTCACGCGCAGTGTAAGCAGTAGTGTTGTGCGCATCCCGTTACGTCATAGTCTACGTCCTGACGCAGCAGCTTGGCCGCAGTTTCCGGCTTCATGTCCGAGTGGATTTGGTCCAAATCTTTGGTCCGGCGCTTCGTCTTCCACTTCTTAGCGATGTTCTTCTTCTTGTCGCCCTTGTGGTTTCCAGTTTGTTTGGACTTCCCCATGTTGGACCGAGCAGGACTGGAGAACACGACATCATTACAACAGCTGGATGGAAGGGAATCTGACGTCACATTCAAACACAAACGCGTTTAAAGGACAACAAACGAGCTGAATGTCAGATTTAGCCATTCAGAGCTTTCCACTTGGCTCCAAAATCACAAACAAACCGGAACATAATCGATAAGTACAAACAGAACACAGTTTTATCTAAAAACCCAGAAACAGACCGAGTTCCAGACTTTGCTTACCTTCTGCACGTGCAACCCAGGGAGAGAGAATGTGCTTCCGGGTTATCGCGGCAGTTTATTTGCTCGCCTCCAGGGGGCGCCAAACATCTATATTTAAAGCGATGAGAGAATAAAGTCGCTAAATTGGGGTCATAATGTTTGAAAGAAAAAAAATTAAAAAGGTTTGAAACGTTTTACTGTTACTTAACTAATTTCTTAGACGGTAAAAATGAGTAAAAATGTGTTAAAGTTGTGATACCTTATACTGTTATATTTTTAGCTACTTTTCCTACATCTGTTCATTAAATATATATCTATTGTCGTACTTCAAATTTTAATTTTATGCAAATTTCAGACACAGAAATTAAGGTTGTCATTATCTGTAAGCCGTAATAATCAAGTAAGAAAGAAAAGAAGAAACAGTTCACTCTCTGTGTAACTATATGAAGTTCCATCATGGCCAAAAGTATATTTCTGTCAGTCTGTTGAAAAATTTTTTGGGTGGGGTTAATGTGCCAATATATTTCCCCTCCCTAGTCTAGTATAAGGATTCAAAGGAATAACAGGAAAATAACTTGGGAATATTTCCACCACAACACAAATTTTTGAATCACTGTTAACAGTTAGCACTGAATCAGACTCCAATGATAATAAACTATTTAGTTTCAATTCTGGAGCACAATTAAAGTCACGCATGAATAAGTTTGTTCACACAATGAGTAACTGGTTCTCCAACTACTTCCTGTTGTCTTCTTCTTCATGGTTTGTGCCACTGTCAACATCTGGTTGGTGATCATGTGACTGATGTGATGCATAAAAACATGTGTCCATTGCAGTTTTGAGAAATAAACCAAAAAACCACACCTCATTTGGTGGTTAAAATTTTTATTGAGTTTTTTTTTTCCAAATTGGCATGTTTCCATTAAACAAAGTTACTTCTAAAATATCAAATTGCACAAATATATGGTCAATGGAAATGCAGCGTTTGTAAGGTAAGTATGTATGCTTACGTAATGTAAGGCCTCTAAGTGCACATAAGCAGGCATGTAATGGAATCCCAGATTTGGAATCTATATTAAACACTGTCACGTCATAAAATTGCAGTTACAACTATTTTATGCCGAAAGTTGATTTGAGTCAAAACATTTTTTTTTATTTACCAAAACTGATTTTGGCATTATTCTAGGAAGGTGACAATATGAGTTTCACTTTCTGAAATGAGGGAATCTCTGTCCAGTATTTGTAGAATGATTTAATTTTATTACAGTACATCTTTTGTTACACATGAAATAGTGTTTGTATAGAAGATTGTGCTCATGGACACATTTTCTGTGTCTTTGGTTGGTTTTCCTACAGGTAAAGTTTCTCTGATATGTTTAAAAATTGAAATGAGAGTTTTTTTTTTTGTAGTACTTTTGTTTTTGTTTGTGTGTTTAAATTGGCACACTTTATTAAGCAAAGTTGTTTTTTTCAAAATGTCAAATCACAAATATATGGTCAACAGAAAACACATATTATGTAAGGTGCGCATGTATGTATATGTAATGCAAGGTGTATAAGTGCATTTCTAACAGACATGTAAACATATATTTGGCACTAATGGGATCTCATATAGCTTAAGTAAAGTAATTTTGGCAAACAAACAAACAAACAAAAAACCAACAAAAAGACAGAAAAAAAAATACAATTTCTTTTATGGCAAAATATAAATTAGGTTTTACAAAAAATATTTTCGACCAAAAAAAATATTTAAGCCATTATTTTAGGAAGGGGAAGAAAGGAGTTTACGTTCAACTTGTGTAATTTAATTACAATACTTTTTTTTATTAGAAATGAAACGGTGTTTGTATGGAAAATTCTGCTCACATTTAAATTTCTAGTGTTTTTGGTTGGTTTTCCCACAGGTGAAATTCCTCTGACGTGTTTAAAATTTCGGACGGCCCCTGAAGGCAGCACCAGGCGACACTGCATACGCGCCGTGGCGGAGAGCGAAGATGGCGGAGAATAATGTCGAAGCGGAGCACGACTGGAACGACTGGGCCCTGGATGCGGCCGAGGATACTGTCATCGCGATGGAAACCCTGCTGGCCACGCTCAGAGCTTTCGAAGACGTTCTC